GCAGAGAGGGAGAGGCGGAAATGAAGAATGAAACGATGCAATATCAAGTTTTCAACCCTAGTCCAAATTTCTACTTGTTGACTATTAAAATGACAAAAATACCCTTCTTTGTCGAGCTCAACCGAGCTACTCGATAAAGAAGCGAGTTCGAGCCTACTCGGCTCGATTACTAAGCTCGAGCTCGACTCGTTAATTGAAATTAACGAGCCGAGCTCGAGCCTTATCGAGCCGAGCTCTAACGAGCTTTCGAGCTGCTTGTTTTGCTTAACAGCTCTAGTAGTGGCCTTGAGGAATTATTGTTTGTTTGGTTGTTGTGTTGGTGATTTATAGTTTGATTTTGGTATGAAGAAGTTGGAGAGAAAATTTGATGAGAAATTGGAGCAAGCTATCCGATTTTTGCTGGTTCAGTTTTCCTCATTTTAATTTCAAATTTTGTGGTTGTTTTGATGCCAAAATGCTTGTTATATGTTGGTGTATATGTGTGTAAATTATCTCCCAAAAAGCATTTCATTTGGTTGAGAGAAGGTTAGGTTAAAGTGAGGAAGCAAACTTGGGAAAACTTCTGATCAGTGTAGCCGTCAAGTGTACACTCAACAAGCCATAATTTTTTGTACAGGAGTCAAAATCAAATGTCGTTTGTGGCATATAAAACTAGACTCCGAAAACTTTCCAACGGTATAAAATCCACCCACTAGTTCGTTTCCTATGAGCCGCAGTGAGCCGGCAAAGTCGATTAATTTTTTCTCACTGTTTTAACCGAGAAGCATACACAGCTGCAGTTTGTAGCTCGTTTTCACTCATCTTACAAAATGAATTTGAAGATAGTTTCTTCTAATGACTTTTAGAATTTTGAATGTAGTTTTCTACTCCATAAACCACACTAATTTTGAACTTGTGTAGCCTTAGTTATGACCCGATCTCGAAACTGTGTCGAGTGCTCCAAAGCTGGAAATTCGTGAACCAGGTTTCAAAAATCAGCATTTATGAAACTATTGTATCTTGGTGTAGAAAGATCTAAATTGATTTTTGTTTGTTGCGTTTGAAACTAGACTTGGAGTTCGTTCAGTGGTATAAATTTCAAAAGCTGATTCTATTTCTATGAATTTTTTCGAATTTCCAAAGTTCACTGAAAATGCAAGACTGCTTGCTCTGTTCTTACTGAAGTAGTGACTTGGAGCTAAGATTTGACTAATTTAGGATTCGAATCTGAAAAAAGTGTATTCTAAAGAGTTTTAATTTATTGAGTCTATTTTCCAACGGTATAAGATTTGCTAATTTTGGACTTTTAAAAGTCAAGTTATGATTTTTCAAAAAAGATTGCCAAAACTGAATTTTTCCTTGTAAAGTGACAATATTCCACAGTCACTTGGAAACATTTTCTAGGTCACAAGCATAACTTTCTTGGCTATTTAAACTTCATTATATACTTGGAAAATGGATTTCTCTCCCTAGTATTATGTCCTTGGATTTTCATGAAAATGAACCATAAAATGGAGCGTTTTAGTTAGAGTACTTCTTGAGGGATTTAACTAGCTTCATATTTTAAACTTGAAACTTTTAGCCACAATATTTACTATGAAAATGAGTAGCGTTTTGATGGATTTTGACTCCATAAGATTTGCAACGTGAACGCTCCTTTATATTCTAAAACTTGGGCATACGATTGGAAGTTTTGAGATATGAAAATCATCTTCCCTAAAACCATCTTTCTTTTTCTCGATTTTAATGCCAAAATTTAGTATGATACTTTCTTCTTTGGAATTGAGATTTCTTGCCACGACTTAACGCTAAAGCTACTATTGAATTTTACTTGAGTATTATTTCAATGATTACGCGAAAAAGTCTCTTTTACTTCAATTTGAACATGTGGCTTTCGAGCGTGGGTAGCAAGAAGATATTTTTTTTATTAACCTTGGTCGAGTACCTAGGTAACAGTGGTTATGCATTTCTCAGGTGGCCTCGAGGACACCGAGGAGCTTGTCTGACCTCTTGCTTTTGTTCTTGCTTTGCCTTGACTTTTGGTGAGTGTTCTAAGTGCATGAAAATATTTACGTGGAATGTCCCCTTGCTTGAATGACATGCCTGCTTGGTTAAAGTAATTGCTCTTGAATCGATGACCTTTGGGACGAGAATATACTTTATCATACTCGATCCTTTGTAGTTAATTTCTTGATATTGATATGAAATGAATTGCTTTGCTTGCACTTGACTTGGTGGTCACTCGGGTGGTTATCCCACCGACTTTCTTGTGTGCTTGGGACGCGTGGTACATGGTCACTGTTGCTAGAAATCGCTACGTACTTAATTTATCGTTGCATGGGCAAGTGTGTACTTTATTCCACTTGACTTATCTCGACTAAGCTTTTGATATTTTGTTAAAATATGTACTGGCCGTTTTATTATAACTGAAATGTGGCCAGAATCCGGCCACTTTATGGCCAGATTGTCAGCCGGATTCGTGGCCGGATTTGCTGCCAAAATATCTGATTTCTGCAGTTTTCCTCCAGTTTTATTGTTTGATCAGGTTTTCGCATCCACCCGATTTTCAATTGTTTGGATTTGGAATACTCGAAATGCTTGAAACATGATATGTTGAGCTTATTTGTGACTTGAATCTATTTAGGCGAGTGTGCTCTTATGTACACTCAATTGACCTAACTTGACTAAACACTTGATATCTTATTCATGCATGAGCAAGTAACTTGATGTACATATGACCTGTATATTGACTTGAAATACTTGGAATACTTGAGAATGTGAATTGCTAGACATTACTTGTGACTTGATCATGGCTAGGCGAGTGTGTCCTATTCGCACTCGACCTCCATGAACTTGAATCAATTGATCCTGTGTGCGGTTCTGCCTATTTATATGCATGATTGTAGACCGGCTACATTTCTCTTGTAGCGGTTGGATTGTAAACCAGTTACATTTCTCTTGTAGTGGTTGAATAGGGCCTTGGACTTTATCCGAGACGTCGAGTAAGTGGAATCTAGGGTTACTCATGCGTATGCGTGAATGTAAGTCGGTAACGGCTAAACTGAACCCTCATTGGACCTCTTGCTTTAGACCAGCCTCAGAGCGATCTGGTAAGCCGGGAAATCTTGGGTAAAGGACAAGCTCCTAACCTATTTACTCCTGATTGGAATTCATCACGTGAAACTGATATTACTGAATATGGAGCGTTAAGCGACAACGAACGTCTCTAACCATTTACTGTGTGAGCGTTGGATAACAGCCAACGACTCCTGAATACCTGAATACGTGGGGCTATAAGTCAGATTCTAAATTATTGAATATCTGGGATTATAAGTCCAACCCAGGGCTAGTTGGTCGAATCGAGCCGGCAAGGGCTTGGTCGAGGAGATCGACGAACCTTGGATACTTTTTTGGTGTTAGGGTCCGGTAAGGGGTATGTTTGGTGGACGAAAATTGGTGTAAAATGGTGATATACGGATGTTATACTTTCGTGGTTGACGGAGAGTCAATAGACCTTGATCAAGCTGCAGTGAAACTTGCTCTTGAGAGCAATCTATATCATTTACCATGAATGTGTTCTTTATTGTACACTTTTGCATGATCTATCTGGCTATTTGCTTAACTATATACTGGATCATGATCTATTTGAGTTTGACTTGTTTCTTGATATCCGGTATATGGTCTTGCCTGTTATATTACCTGCCTATTTTTTTGGAACTTCACTAGGCTTTTAACTCATTCCATGCAAATTTGTTTTCCTTACAGGGATGAGAACATAAGAGGTTGAATTGAGGAAGGCCTAGATTTCATCTAAATTCGTCAGTCGCTCACGCAAGCACTTCATAGATGTCTAGCCAGCTTATTTGGTTTGATTTTTTTTTTTGCAAGTTTGACTCCTTGGTTGTATTATAGATTGTGGGACATTGGAGGTCCATGAGTGTATATATTGAAGGTTCTTCTTAATATAGCTTTTATTTTGAGGTTATCATTTGTAAATTTCATGAATTATGACTGAGTTCTGACGAGAGTTGGGCAGGCGGTCTGCCAAACCCTTGGGTACGCCCTAGGGGGAGGTGGGGCTGTCACATATAGAAACTATGAAATTTGGGTTGGTAAGTAAAAATTAGTAGTAGACCTTATAAGTCCTGGCTATTAAGGAGTATGGCGTTATTATAGAAATGGATTGGTTAGTTCGTTATCATGCTCGATTAGATTGTCGAACGAAAGTGGTCCAGTTTTGTATACCAGGTAAGGCAACCCTAAAACTAGATGTCAGGGGTATTTTAATCTCATCTGCCCTTATTTCAGGAATTAGAGTTAGAAAATTGTTGAGTAATGGGACACAGGGGTATCTAGCCTTTCTACTCAATACCCCAGAAGAAAAGGTTAAACTGGAGGATATGCCAGTGATAAGCAAATATTCGAATGTCTTCCCTGATGAATTGGTATCATTGCCTCCCGAGAGAGAGATAGAGTTTAAGATTGATCTGGCACCTGGAACTACTCCTATCTTAAAAATCCCTTATCAGATGGCGCCCGCTGAGATTAAGGAATTAAAATTGTAATTGCAAGACTTGTTAGAATGTGAATTTATACATGAGAGTGACTCACCTTAGGGCACTCCAGTACTTTTTGTTAAGAAGAAGGACGGGAGTTTGCGATTGTGTATTAATTATCGAGAGTTGAATGCGATGACCGTTAAGAATAAATATACTTTGCCTCATATTGATGAACTATTTGACTAGTTACAAGGGGTTGTGGTGTTTTTTAAGTTAGATTTTAGACAAGGATATTATCAATTAAGAATTAAGAAGGAGGATGTGCTAAAAACTGCTTTTAACACTCGATATGAGCATTATAAGTTTGCGGTAATGCCTTTTGGATTAACTAATGCCCCAACAGCATTTATAGATTTAATGCATCGGGTGTTTAAACCCTATTTGGACCAATTTGTGGTGGTATTTATTGATGATATTTTGGTGTATTCAAAGACTAATGAAGAACATGAGCGGCATTTGAGGATGGTGTTACAAACCTTAAGAGAGCATCAGTTGTTTGCCAAATTTAGCAAGTGCGACTTCTGCCAAGAGAAAGTATCATTTTTAGGCCATATAATCTCAAAGGATGGACTCACTGTGGATCTGGTTAAAGTAGAAGCTATTGCCAAGTGGAAACAACCCGAGAATCCTACTGAGATTCGTAGTTTCTTGGGTCTAGCAGGGTACTACCGTCGATTTATAAAGGATTTCTCAAGAATTGCAGAACCTCTAATGAATTTGACAAAGAAGCAAGAAAAATATATTTGGGACGCTAAATATGAAACTAGTTTTCAAGAGTTTAAGAAGCGATTGACTATGGCACCAGTATTAGCTTTGCCAAATGAGAACAATAGTTTTACGGTATATACAGATGTTTTGAGAGAAGGATTGGAGTGTGTCTTAATGCAAAATAGGAATGTAATTCTCTATGCTTTTCGGAAGTTAAAATCTCACGAGTAGAATTATCCAACCCATGATTTAGAACTCATTGCGGTTGTGTTTGCCCTGAAGAAATGGCGACATTACCTGTATGGGGTGACTTTTGAGATATATACAGACCATAAAAGTCTTAAGTATTTATTCTCTCAGAAGGAATTAAACCTGAGGCAGCGTCGGTGGATAGAGTTCTTAGAAGATTATGACTGTACTATTAATTACCATCATGGAAAAGTCAATGTTATGGCAAATATTTTAAGTCGGAAGACTCAACTAGAAGGTTTGATGATAAGAGAGTAGAACCTATTAAAGGATGCTAGTGAATGTAATCTTCGTCTTGAATCACAGAAAGTTATTTTTGAAAATATTGTGGTGAAATCAACATTATTGGATCAAATTAAGGAGAGTTAAAAGAAAGAACCAATGGTACAAAAGTGGATGAAAAGAGTGCAAAAGAAAGAATTACCCGACTTCAATTTAGGTCCAGATGGAATATTACGGTTTCGAAATCGCATTGTTGTACCAAAGGATGAAAAATTGAAAAAGGACATTTTAGGGGAAACCCACCGTTCTAGGTATACTGTACATCCCGAAAGTGGCAAAATGTACCAGGATCTCAAAGGTCTATATTGGTGGGACAACATGAAAGTAGAGATTGCTCAATTTGTTCAAAAATGTCTTACTTGTCAGTAAGTAAAGGCATAGCATAAAAAATCGTCAAATTTGTTACAACCTCTAGAAATACCTGAATGGAAGTAGGAACATATAACGATGGATTTTGTGTCAGGGTTGCCACGAACTCAAAAAGGTCATGATGCAGTTTTGGTGATAGTGGACTGATTGACTAAATCTGTACATTTCTTGCCAGTTAATATGAAATATTTTTTGGAGAAATTTGTTAAACTTTATATGGATGAGATTATAAGATTGCACAGGGTACCAGCGAGCATAGTATCCAATAGAGATTCTACATTTGTATCTCGATTTTGGCAGAAATTACAAGAGACTTTAGGGACTAAACTGAGCTATAGCACAGCCTATCATCCTCAAACAGATGGACAGTAGGAAAGAACTATTCAAACTCTTGAGAATATATTAAGAGCATGTATTGTGGATTTTGGGGGAAGTTGAATCCAGTACAAGATGATACAAACCCGCCCGAAGGTATGAACTCGTATCCCACGTAGTTTCGGATCTAAACGAAGAAAATTAAGTTGAATTGCGCAATAACACTTGACCCTTCTAAACCCTAGATTGCGAACTTTGAATTGAATCTCAACCCACAATCGAATGATTTAGTGAACTAATGTTAAAAGTAGAAGAATGCTATAACCAAGGTGTATACTTAATTGACAAGTTCAAATTGAATAATTTAAGAAAACTCTCAAGTATTCAAGCAAAGCTCTCTTGGATAAGAGAAGTGAATAAAACTCACAATTTTATTGTAAAATCTGACTTTTCCTAAACGTTTAAAAGGTTAGGCTATTTATAGCCTAACATGACTTGAAAACCTAATGTGATTTGGAATCACTTACTTGAAAACCTAAAGTGATTTAGAATCACTTATTTGGCTAAGACACCAACTAAGTTTCGGCCTCTTGAAAAGGAATTTTGGCTGAACATTTCAGCAATTAAATTGACAAATTAAAACCCTAACTAATGCTATTAATCAAACGACACAACTTCTAAGGGAATAACTTAACTAAATTAATTTGCTTCTAACTCTTCATGTGTTTGAATGGGGATTCGGATCTTCATGCTCTCATCATTTCCCTCCTCTTGAAAACAATTTGCCTACAAATTGAAGCACGAAAGATGACAAGAAGAGTTGCATGCCTTCGAATCAATCTTGTTATGATGACTACAAATTTCATCCAATGCAAAACCCACTTGCTAAGTTGGAAAACAACCCTTATTGAACCTTGAATCTCACGAACTAGCTTCAATATATGCTCAACTTAATCGCTTGTGGTCATGAGGTAAGGATCCTCAAAATGGTATGAAGTGTATCCCATGAAACTGAACTCATGCTCGATTACACTTGCAAGACACCAAAGCAGATTTGGTGAAGTTGGAGCTTCACGTGGACTAAGGGCAAGATAACAATTGTAGTTTCAATGATCATTGAGGAACTCATTCGTTAAACGAACCCTTGGTACACAACCAGCTCCAAAATTTGGAATGTTCCATTCAAGATGAGCTCGAATTAACTCTCTATTTGTGTGGACGTATTTGAGTTGACATTGTTCCATGAATTGATACCAAAGGGATTTAACTCCTAGAAGACAAACTCCATGGAAACTTGCAAAGTATACAATTGATATTGGAATGGAACATGCCAAGATCAACTCTACTTGACTTTGCTTGATTTGTATAAAAGAAGAAATACTAAACAAAGCAAAGGTAAGTTCGTTAGGAAAACAATAAGTCCTCACATTTTTGCTCAAAATCAGTGCACTTTCTCCGTTTTCTTCCGTCTCAACTAGCTCATGACAACCAACTTGTGTAGATGGAACTTCAAGGTTTTCAAACTCAAGTTCATTGCTAGCATTCATAGATACTTCTTCAATCAATGGCGGACTAGAAGGAACATCTCCTTTATTACCATCGGTTGACACATGATTAAGTTGCTCAAAGTATGAATTCAGCACTTGGCTAATTTCAACCTTCATAGAATCAACCAAGTTTTTAGTCCAACTTCGAAAATCATCCTTTGGTTCATGAGGTTTTGACTCTATTCGAGAACTCTTAGGCTTCATGGCTCGATTGTCATGACATTCCTTAGATAAATCTTGTTTGCTTGAGGATGACCTCGACTTAAATGCTCGACACAAACTTCTTTGCTCCTTCTCATACTCATCACAAATACGCTTATATCATTCATATACACACAAAGCACGGTAACATTGCATCTCCTCCCGAAATGAACGAAACTCATGTTGTGAACTAGACTGCATGGAACTAGAGTGCCTGGAAGCAGTTCACTTGGAACCCCTCCTCTTGAAGTGGCTCATTCTCCAAGCATTCTTGATTATATGAGCGAGATGTAACTCCACTAGCCATGATTACGTGACCTACAAAAATGGTTAGCAAAGAAAAGAATTTCCTCACAACACATCCTCACTTGTTTGCACTCACACTCGTGTATCACTCAAGTGTTTAGTTCACTCTATTGATCTCAACAATCACTTCTCAAGTCGTTTGATTCCCTTTCTTGAAGAAATTAGAATTTTCTCAATGAGAATCAATCAACTTTCACCAAGTTTCACACTAGATGGTGGTAGATGAATGCTGGAAATTTGGAGTGAAATGGACTGAATAATAACTCAAAATAGGACCCTAAAGTACGCTGGAAAACACCAAGTCTGTCCGCACAAGATTCCTCAAGAATTTGGAAACTTTGGACTTTGACTAGTGTCTCGAATTAGGAAACTATCAACTAACTAAATCCTAGACTGATGTGGACTCTTTTTGGGTACTTTTAAAAACGAAAATATGATGGAAAAGACTCAAAACATAGAAATTTAAGGCTGGACAGTTTACAAATTTTGACTAAAATAAGAATCAAAACGGCAGAAATTTTGGATCCTAGAATTTCTCTACCCAATTGCACCCTTGGCTGGAATTTTGGAAGTTGAATCCAATTGGTTCTTGAATTTATTTTGGAAGAAAAGCTGCTGATTTGTGGAGTAATTTTTGTGTATAAGCATGTAACAGCCCCATTTTCCCCTAAGGCGAACCAAAGGGGTGAGCGGACTGCCTGCCCAACTCTCGCCAGGACTCACGATGCAGACTAGAACTATCTATAGCGATCCGGAACTTACGAACGAGCGTAAACGAGTCAAAATGGTAAAATAACCCAAAATTTAAAAAAAAAAATGCAATCCGAAGTCGGCCATGAATAGTGACCGACCCGTCAGAACCCAACCGAAAAAGCCAACAAACATTCACATCTGAACTTTAGCGTTTACAAATCAAAATGACATACAAAAGTTTTCAAAAGTTAATATATACACACGGTTTGCCAAATCAAAAGAGAAAACGCCCCAAAAGTACACTTAGGGTTTTAATACATGAGCTATACAAAAGATATGTTCAACTAGCTCAATTTGGCAGCCATTTGTCAAATCCAGACCAAAAGGGTTTATTTTCCTGTAAGGAAAACAAAAGGAACGGAAAGGGGTGAGCTTGCGCTCAATGAGGTACCAAACAGATAGCATTAAAATCATGGCATTTCACATTTAACAAATCAGATACACATGTCAGATGTAAAGCAAAGGAACCAATGATTCAAATCAGAAGGATACGGGTGGCTCTCAGGAGCCAAATTTCCAGCGCAATACTTGATCCAAACCGGTTGACTCTCCGTCAACGTATATAGAACCAATGCATCCGTAGACCCCTCTTATCACCGAATTCCGTCCACCAAACACCCCTTTACCGGGCCCGCTCACCTCAAACGAACAAAATGGTAATACTCGAGTATACCCGGAATCAAGGGTCTCAATACCCAAAATCCCCGAACAGACTACCGTGGTTCGTTATCTAATCGTCCAGGCCCTTGCCGGCCCGACTCGAATAACTTAGCCACAGGATTGAGCTCATAGGTCATAGAAATCCGAACAGATGCAGACACAGATAACAGATTCAAATTTTGCATAGTAAATTGGCATATGAACAGACTAGAGAACGAGTATGATAAAGTATACCCTCGTCTCGAACAAATAAACAGATTGCAGAGCAGAAATCAAGTTAAATAGCAATGGAGGGGAGTGGTACACTCACCGGCTCAACTTCAAAAGTTTTTACTTCAGATTGGCCTTAATCGCCAAGAAACCCTAAAATAATCAAAATAAACCAATTGAAGGTTTCATATCCAAAATCGAGTAAACGGAATGCACAAGTGAGACTCGACTACACGTCGTACGCCTTGCCCAAAAATACTAATGCAAGGGTGCAAAAACATGATTTTCTTGGAAACAAAAGATAACATGAAGACCTAGGGTCAACAACCCAAAAGCCCT